CAGCCGCCTCGTCGAGCTCTCACGGACCTCCTCGTTGAAGGAGCGCCTGCCGGGGCTGTACCCGCGCGGGCACGCCTCCCAGCTGGGGCGGACCTGCCACCATTGTCGCTCCGTCGAGTACGACAGCGGCGCGAAGTTTTGCCGGGAGTGTGGGTGGAATTTGAACACCGAGAACCTGCCAAACCCGTGCAAGCGATGTGGCGAGGTCGTCCCGGCGACCTCGCGCTATTGCGGGACCTGTGGGGAGCCCGTCGCGGATCCCGCGAGTGCCGAACGCGAGCCCGGATGGGGGAATGAGAACGCCCCGACGGTGCACATGACGACCTGCCCGGCCTGTCGCGCCCTCTGCTGCGATGATGCCAACTTCTGCGATAACTGCGGCGCCGCGCTGCTCGAGCAAAGCGTGCATCTCCCGAAGGAAAATGGCGGGATCCCCGGCTCCTCGGGCTCCTCCAAAGAGGAAGGCGGCGGGGGCGGGGGCGGGAGCGGGAGCGGAGGAGGCGGGGTGAACATCACGCCTCGCTCGGCCAAATCCTGCCCGATGTACTGCAAGACGTGCGATTTGCACATCAAGGAATCCTTCGCGGTGTACTGTGAGGATTGCGGGGGGAAACTCGAGAAGCGTGCGGCGCCGGAAGGCTCAAAGAATCCAGAATCCTCTACGGAAAGCGGCGCGTTACCGCGGGTGACCGTCTCCAGAGGAGGGGGGGGTTCGTCGTCATCGGCGGGCGCCGCCGTCACCCCGTTGTTGAATGGGGGGAAATTTGAATCGGAAGAATGGGCAGGCAGCGGCGTCCGCGAGCCCTGCCCGAGTTGCGGCCGTCAATTCGCGCCGGAGGTTTTACAAAAGCACATCCGCAAGTGCGCGTCGCAGAAGAAGAAGCGCCCGGTGTTTAACATTCACAAAAAGTGGATCGAAGGTCTCGAGCCGGTTCCCCGCCGGAGTAACGGCGTCGGTGATTCCGGACGCAACAAAGCAGGCGGAGGGGGAGTCGTGGCGGCGCCGCCCAAGAAAAACTGGAAAGCCGAGAGTGAGGCCTTCCGACGTGCGCTACGTGAAGCCAAGCAGGTCGATCAAATTCTTAAATCGGGTGGAAACGTGCGAGATTTGCCGCCACCAACGTATAGTGAAAATCCCGATTACGTGCCTTGCCCTCATTGTCAGCGCCGCTTTGCCCCGAAGACGGCGGAGCGGCACATCCCCCACTGTGCAGTGACCATCAACAAGCCAAAGCCGCCACCCAAGCGAAGAGGCGTCTGATTTCGCTCCCTTCGCCCATCGGTTATGTCTATTTTTCTATTTTTTCTTTTTCACATTAGCTTGTATTATGTATATATGCGTGCTCTTCGTGATTAGAGTCGAAATGCTTTTACATCGTCATAATAATATTGGTAATAATAACAATGTTTATCGTTATTGAATTGGATTTTTTTCGGTTATTTATGTTATGGAAATTCGGGTGATTATTTGAGTAAGCACCTGGATATTGCGGTGGCTTCTGAAATAATAAGGTTGATTTCTTGAGCTCTTCCCAATGTGTCTTATTTTCTCGTTGGTCAGTAGATATTCGGGTTCCCCATTTGTCAAGGGAACGTTGGTTTCAAGTCTGAGTGAATGTTATTCAGGTTCAGCCTATTATCATGATTGTTTTACCCGGAAACTCATTTTCCACTATCTCCCCTCCCCACCCCCTTATCATTCAAATATTCTCTGTGATGCATATATATATATATATATATTGAATTTAATCTTTATATACAGTTAAATTGAGTTGAAGGCTTGGAGCTTCACTTGCACAGCTTTCTGCATGCTAAAAAACGAAAAAGAAGCACCTCCATGTCCCTCCCAACAGCTGTGAAGGAACTTGATGCTCGCATTTGGCGTACTCTGGATCCAAGACAGCCACTGAGCGGCGACGAGGAAAGCTACATTCACACGAGGTTAGGCATAGCCACGGAGGTGAAGGATCGCGGTAAATGCCTCCCGATCAAGGATACCATAGAGTTACAGGAGACATGCCAGAAATGCTGGAACCTAACGGTACTCAAAAAGTGGCCGGAGGAACGCCTGAGGCTGAAGGCGCTCTATCGTAACCTCATCACCCACCTGTACCTCTTGGGAAATAACTTCTTCGCCCCCCTGAAGGTCCGAACCAGCTACCTCTCGAATCATCCTAGGGAGGCTGAACAATGCATCTTGATGTGCCTCAAGACGGCGAAGAGTTTATCCTCCCAACACCTAAGCGAGGCCGCGAAGGAGCTGCTGGAGCACGCGACGGCGACGAGCCATTGCTGCACCCTTCGACCCGACTCCAGACTTTATTACCTCACGTTAGAAATCTTATTCGCCCGGATGTATGTCTTACGGGATTTAAAAGAATACACCGCGTCGGCGGACATCGCGGCGCAGCTGTTCAGCGAAACCCGGCATCACCCCCACCACGTCTACCGGGAGAATCTCCTGCAGTTTATCTACGCCGTCGGGGAGGGGCCGGTCGCGAAAGGGAACCCCTGGACCCCGACCGAACCCCTCGCTTGCCACGAGCCCCCCAGCGAGGTCGAGGACGCCGAAGAAGCCTACATCCGTCGTCTGCTGCAGC